GAGGGCGGCCCCGCCGGGAGGCGCCCCCAGCCACAACCCGCCCTACCACATCTACCCGTGGCAAAGGTGAGTGAGCGCCTGCCTGAGCTGCACCGCCCCAACAAACACCCTGCCTGGGAAGAGCAAAACAGCTTCCACTCTCTAAACACGTGCTTTCTAATTAGTTTTGCCGAGTGGCTGCTCTGCGAGTCTGTCATTAGTTTGAAAGCCGGAGTCTGCTATAAATCCGATGAGGTCAACAATTTATGCCCTCACAACGAAATGAGAATTTGCTTGCTGTTGTCTGTTTTAAGCAACAAATAAAATAAGAAAGGGGCACTGCTACAAGCTCTGCTGAACGAAAGAAAGCCTGCTGAAGCCAGCAGCTCCTTTCCCCCACAGGGGCACACTGCATGCCGGGCTTAGGCTTCGCCAGAGAGGGAGCCCAGCATTTGTTATGGGAAAACATAGGAGAGAGGCAAAAAATAGGCATATGAAACAGTGGGAGCTGGCTACCTTTTAGATACTTTAAAGGATGTAGTTATTTCAGATCAGAGTCAGACCTCAAGCACACCACTCTCAGCCAAGAGCAGTTCCAGACACCAAAGCGTGGCAGCATCTCCCTGCCCTGCGATGCTGGGCTGTGGGTTAGAGAGACCTGCTGACAGTTTCCAAATTAGACATTGTTCTCCTTTCATTTTTTGAAAGGCAGATTTCTCAAGGGGGGTGGGGGGAGGAAGAGGTTACAAAGTCACCCCAAAACCAAGGAAGATAGAAAAATATCCTTTTAAACTATTTTTTTGTAATAAGCTGGGAGCAACTGGAGTTTTGTTCCTCCTTCTTTCTCATAACTCCACTGTCCTCTGACACCTCACTCATTACCACCTGTGATTGTTTGGTTTCCGAGGCTGGGAAACTGGGTACAATTTGATGAGCAGTAAGTGTGTTTCATAGCTGTGGAATCAGGATGCTGTACAGCAGGCAGTCCTGCTCCCATCAAAGGTCATGGCTTCTCGGTGTTGTTACCGTGCGCTTGTACTGTCAGCTTTGCCACAGGGACCCGATGTGGGGGAGAATAAGGGCTTCCCTGGCCGTTTGGTCCTGTCCTCCTTGAGGGTCCTTTGACACCTGCTATTTTGGCAAAAGGCAGCATCTGCAGTTCTGTGCATTAACCTGGCCTGCCTTTGCCTCAGCCCAGCAGCTTTTGACCTCCCACTGGAGGGAAAACCTTTGCAGCTTGTAGCTCCAGATCTGTAGCGTTGCTGAACTCTTCTGCCACCTGGGAGAGCCAGGCTGGAAATGGAGCCGGCACCCGGGGGCCCTGGGTCCTCCTCTGCCCCCGCCTCCAACCTGCTTGCGTGGCACTTCAGAGGTGATGAATGTCACCTCGCCTCGTGCCTGCTTCCTGTGTGGTGGTGGTAGGGTTAACCTCACTGTTGTCTTATATGGTCATTTGAATCCCCTGACGCTTCCTCAGAGGGCCAAAAATAATCTCGAGCTGAGCGAGCAGCTGAATCCAGTGCAGAGCAAGCCGTGGCCATCTGCTTTTATTCAAAGCCCTGACCGGCAGGCTTTTTCACTTCGTCTCTGCGGATGTGTGTCTCTGTTTCTGCCTCAACATGACCTGTTTCTCTTATTCGGAGTATTTCTCCTTATTTCATTCTTGTCATCGCCACTCCAGATTGGCGGCCCAGCCGAGAGGCCGTGCTCAGCCGTCCAGCTCGGGGGCAGCCTGGGGGGTCAGGCGAAGGTACGACGGCAGCCTGTTCAGCACATCCCAGCCTGTGTAAGTGCCTCCCTCTCCTGCTTTCCCCCGCGGTCAAAACAAGCCTTGCTACCCATGCTCCCCCTGAGTCAGCTCTTCTGGGTGGCAATGGTGTCTGGTAGGGGAAATGGTCGTGTTCATCTGGAGGAGTTAATGAACTGCTTAGAAGGGTCTTGCTGATATCTGCACCGCACCCTCGCTGCCTTCCCACTCTTCCTTGCGACCTCCCAGCTGCCCCAGACCATGCCCAGGCTCTTGCAGGTGACCCACCCCAAACCTCCCTTGTTCTCTTCTCCCCCTTCATCCCTCTCCATCCCTCCAGTGCACGTGTCCTGGGGACTCTGGGTCATTCGGTAGCTCTGAGGTGACAAGGACAGCAGGGGAGGGATGCCTGCGCTGTGGTTTATTTATATAGGCTGGCTCCCACATCAACACGGTAGATGAGGCAGGCAGGTGCTGATAGTAACTGCATTGGTGTTCACAGTTCAACAGTAGGGAAGAGTGAGGAAAACAAACATTTTATTGCAGTATATAAACAGGGTGAGAAAGTCCAGTCCTTCAAGGCAAATATTTTATAAATGCTCCCAAGATGTCGTGCCTGTTCCCAGCAATACCTGCACTGTCCTGCTACACTGAGGGCTGCTGGGGAGCTGTACCACATCTTACCAGCCCAAGGAGGAAACCAGCTTGACTGACTTTGATCCTCCTGGCCACGTTTTGCTGTTGGCAGAGACCGTAAATAAGCTTAGGGGAAGACAGTCATGAATGAGGAAAGCAGACAGGCAAGGGGGTGGCCCGAGCTCTGCCCCAGTATCTCTGTGTAGTGGAAGTGTCTGGACTACAATGGGTTTATTACAGCTCTCTGCAGGGCAGAGTAGATGCATGAACTTTAGCTGTTAGATGAAGAGAAGAAAGTGTTGTAGGCAGCACTTCTCTATGTCCTGCAGAAAACTCTCCCCTGCCTTTTTTATCTACCCAGTTCAAATCCACTTTGTTTTACCCGTCTTACAAGTCCCTCCCTGGATGCACAGTGGCAGTGACTACCCCTCCACCACTCTTCTTCCTTTCATCCCTCACCCAGCTCTACAATCTCCCCTACCTCACCCTGCACCCTGGCCGATCCAGGCTCTGCCTCTGGCTCTCCACTGACATTGCCCTCCCTGACACATGTGAAAACCTCTTCCTGCTGAAACATGAAGCCTCCCTTACTCCCATCATCTGCCAGCTCCCCTTGGCCACACTGAAATCGCATCCTTTCATCAAGTGCTCTGCACACCTTGCAGGCCTCTCTCCAGCTCTAGGTGCATGACTGGAGGGCAGGCTTTTCTTCTGCATCATATAGCTCAATAGAATTCAGCCCACAACAAATGCAGAGATAAGGCTGATAAGCTAGCCCTCTCTACTGCCTGGCGAGAGTAAAAATGTGGCTGGGAAGCCACAGGAGAGTATGATGGCATGACTGTTTTATGGCCCTGGTCTCAGAGCCAGGTAGGGATGATAGTTGGCTTCACCTGGGGAGATGTTCCTTCATGCTGCCTGCATCTCACCAGGCTGCCAGGAAAAGAAGGACCTTCCTGAACCTTTCCATGCTCCACTGAACCTCTTCTGCAGCACTCAGAATTGACCCCACCATACATTTCTTCTGCAATGAGTATTTATTATCTTGGCTACTGACCTTTGAAATGCAGTCATTCTTTTGATTCACCTATAAGGTTAAGATTTCATCAGATCTTCAGGCTTCCTCTATAGTTGTAATACTCGTTTTTTCTATATCTGACGAAATCCAAGCAGCAGAATGTGTTGGTTTTTTATAACAGCCAACTATGAGCCAGGCAGAAAACAAGGATTTCACATGGAGATTCATTAAACTTTCTGTACTGATCTGGAATTTGCTTGGCTAAAGCATCTACGGCCTGGTCCAGCAAACCCCCTCATCTTACTCCGGAATCATTTAAGGTCAAGGAGCCCAACAGAAGTTTGCTTCATTCAACATCTGAGGGCTCAAGCAGAATAGTAACTGATTCTTCACACATTTTTAACCCTACCACAGATCCGAGGTACCCTCTGCTTTCACTGAGGTCTCGGCTAACATGATTCACCTTGCATTTGCTGTATGTCAGCCACATGTACAGACTCCTGTCATGGCCTGCCTGGCATGCAGTCACTCATTAAGCGCTGGTAACTCTATGGTGTGCCCAAATCCCGAGGTCACAGTGAGCAGCCCTGCATGTGTAACGTGAACCTTTGCACAGAAGAACAGATGGCTTCAGCAGCCTTGTGCCAGAGGCTTTTAAAGAGGAAGATCCCCCACCTCCTCCTCTTCTCCTAGACAAACATGCCAATTCTTGCTGTTAACTGCTTTCAACAAAATGCTCAATTTCAAACGCCTATATAAAAATCTATTATCTATACAAAACTAGCAATTTTAGTTTTAGTCCCCAGGGTACTCTAAATAGTATGGAGATAAAGCAGTGTCCCTGGGACCTCGGCCCAGCAGTTAACAGAAGGTCAGTCAATTCCTCCTGGCTGGGCTGTGGCCAGGAAGGCAGCTGCCTGCTCTAGCTGTTATCTCCTCAGGCAAAATGCCTGGCTTTGTGTCCCGTATCTTCCCCCATTCCAGTGTTGCTATTTTTATGACTCTGCTGTCTTGAGATCACTGCTTCCAGCTATAGAGAAGGAGCAAGTGGCACTAAGTACTTTTTCACCTGGGAAATGGTGTGTTATCCCATTCCTTGGCACCCGCGTTGTGTTCACCTGCTTCTGCTCCAGGCCCTGAGTTTATCCTCAGAGAAGCAGCTTGGTGACTTTTCTTTCAGTGCTATTATCAGTGTTTATGGCACAGACTGGGTACCTCTGGGCAAGCTGACATTAATGACGCCTGTGTGAGTTTCAGGCTGTTGGTCTGTCCAGCCCCTGCAAGGCAATGAAATCCAGTGCTGCTCCTGTAATCTGCACTAAATGCAGAGGTTGTACCAATGATCTGCTTTGTGAGGACTCCTGTGCTAAGCTGCCCATATTTTTCTGTCTCTGATCTCACTCTGTTGTGGCATTTTAGACCTTCTGTCATAACCAGAGTTCCTGGTTGTTTGCATTGTCACTGCCCTGCATGACCTTCATCACATGCTGTATTCCTACCCTGGCAATGCTAATAGTCTCCCTGAGACACATGCCTCCCTCCCTAGTCTCTCCGCCTTCAAGGCTGCAAGATTTTCTCTTTAGAGTTAGTTCAAACCACAAACTCTCCTATGTTTTCAACATCCTCTTGTTCTCTGTCTCTGAAAATATAGCCCACGTTCATTTATTGCAAGTCCCCATTAGAACAGGAAAATGCTTCTTCCTTTGCGGTGTTTGCTGTCCCGGAGCTTAGCCATTTGGTGGCTGCCTTCTCCGAGCACCGCTCAGCAGGAGCATGAGCAGGTGCTAGCGCTGGAAGGCACAGCACACCACCCCGCACAGAGCCGCTGCCTGCCACGGAGAAGGATCCTGCCCGCAGTGTACCAGCTCCCTGCCTCTGCTGCGCTGTCAGCAGTCTCAGCTGGGGTGGAAGGAGGGAGGCAGGCCCTGCTGCAGGCACTGCTGGTCAGTGGTATGGTGACTGTCAGGCAGTGTTGTGACTCCAGCAGAGCGGGGAGTCCCGCAGCGGCTCTCGCCGTTGCTCTGCGGAAGGACTGGTGTGCCCAGGTCAGCCCTGCTCTGCAATTGCTCTTACAGAGCTTGGAGAAATGGGTTGCTGCCCGGACTGTGCAGAATGCATGCTTGGCAAAGTGAAGGCTTGTCAGAGCAAAGCTCGCTTGTAGGCTGCTCATTGCATCTCGCTTCCAAGTGGCATGGAGCATATTTCATGCTTTTTGTAGATTTTCACAGTGACCCTTTCTTGAAAGCTTCAGAATTAGGTAGCATCAAAAAAGATGGCTTTCTCGTTATTTTTCTTTTCGCTGCTAAATACTGAAGTACTACTTTAACACTTTTCAGTGATTCTACACATTTCAATGACTTTCTACTCCACAGAGGCTTTAAAATGTTCCCTCCCTTCCAAATATTTTTTCATTCCTTTTACTCCCTGTGCCTAGAAGTTACTTGGCCCTGTGGAGCCTGACAGTGGTTTGCTGGGTTCAAACAGACCATAACATGAACCACTTCACAGCTTGGCACCAGGTCCCAGTTGGGGTTCCAGAGGCCCCTGACTGTTGCAGTTACTTGGGGAAGTGCTAACTTGGCTAAGAGGTTTGCATGAGTGGACTTGTCAACAAAGCTAATGGGTCTGCTCCCAAGCAGGATTCTAAAGACCAGATTTTCAGAAGTGTCCAGCACTTAACATGTCTTACTGGGACACCAAAGACACATTTTTGAATGTCTATCATGTCTGAAGTGGTTATCATTTCTGAAAATTTGAGTACTCAATGCTGAAATAACAGCTGGGGATTTCTGGGTCATGGTCATGAAGGGCAGCTCAGAATTTCATTTGGGTGGGTGGATTTTTTTTTTTTAATCCTCCCTGGCTGAAGAAAGGAGAGCCCAGACCACCACTGTAATGTTCACATGATCTAACCAGAGCTCTCCTTCTTCATAACTGGTCCAGCTAACTTCTGAAAACAGGCTTGCATAGCAGAAATAGGAAGTATCTTTAAAATACAAGAACAAGATTTATGGAGAATTTCTGCTTTAGGACTAAGCCACCTGCAAATCAAAGTTAAAAGTTTCTTCAGGGATGAACAGGGGCAATTCTCGTCAAAGCTGATCTTGTTTAAGAGATCTCATAAGGAAACATCTTGCCACATGGGAGGGTGATGTAATCATCACAACCATGGACGCTCATGGCAGTGTACAGAGCACGAGTAGAGCTAGTCTCCCCAACTCCAGATATCTAAAATATAAATGTTTTTGTCAGAGATTAGTCACACCTACACTTTCCTTACACTCCGAGGAAAGAGATCAGCACTTCCAGACAGTGATTCTTCTGTTGTGAATGGCCAAATTAGAGCAGATAAATTTTACCTCCACAAGCCCTGTAGCAAGACACCTTAGGGCCACAAATACTTATTACATAGGCTATAGGGGTTCACTATTTTGGCCAAATGATACAGTGATGTTGCTGAAAAAAGCTTCTCAGTAATGAAGGAAGCAGTAATCAGGTTTTAATCTTGTTTTAAAGAGAACTTGACCCGGTAGTGGCAGCAATCAAGGATGGAGATGAAAAAGCAGTATGTAACATGATGAAATCAGGAAAAGACCTTTCTGAACCTAATAAGGATGGCTGGATACCCCTCCATGAAGCTGCGTATTATGGCCAAGTGGGTTGCCTGAGCCTGTTGCAAAAAGGTCAGTGAAGTTAAAACTAATTCATTACAAAAGGGAGAAAACGAATATGAATAAAATAAAAAGCAGAATTAGCAGCAGCCCAATCCTTGCCTGGGACTGTGTGTGAAGGGTTTTTTCCAACCTCTCTGAGTGTATATTAATTTCACCTTCTCTTTGAGAATAGGTTTCCAGACTGAAGCCTCGAAAAGTTAGGATCTTCAGGAGAAAATGATATCTGGAGGGATCTTGCCAAGCCCTGGATTTCTCACAGTAAAGCCTTGTAGCTGAGATATCTTGTTGTGAGCTGCTCGGCTGCCGCAGCTAAAAGCAATTACCCCAGGTCCCACTAGCTGGAGATCCAGCCCAGCACCTCGTTGCTGGTGCTTGAAGGTGGTTAACTACTATAGTTTGTTTTCAAACTGCTACTGAAGAGCAATTACTCAGCAGCTTTCTGCATCACTAGTGGCGATAGCTGAACATTTTAATCTAAGCCGGTGACTGATTTAGGTACTTAATCTGAGTTACAGTAACTTTACAGGATATTCTTAACTTACTTTCTCATGGAAAGGCGATAGCTGAACATTTTAATCTAAGCCGGTGACTGATTTAGGTACTTAATCTGAGTTACAGTAACTTTACAGGATATTCTTAACTTACTTTGCTCATGGAAAAGAAAAAGAAAAGAAATAAACAACAAAAACTCACCTAAAACTCCAAGGGTTTTGAAAGGTGATGGTGCTGCAGATACTTGTGTGCTTACTACATGCCATAATGACTGTAGGCTCCCCTTTTATTCACAGCATACCCTGGCACAATCGACCAGCGCACACTCAATGAGGAGACGGCTCTTTACCTGGCCACCAGCCGGGGCAACTTGGACTGCCTGCTCACCCTGCTGCAGGCTGGGGCCGAGCCCGACATCTCCAACAAGGCCAGAGAAACACCGCTCTACAAAGGTGAGCGGATGTGTTTCCAGGGATGCTGAGCTCTTCTGGCACCAAGGCAGAGCTGCAGGTGCTCTTGTCATGTGGGGCTGAAACTCAGCAATTAGCTCCCATTTTGCACCTTCCTCCAGTAGTCCTGTATCTCCTATGTCTGACCTGCCATGCCACGGCCTCTCTTCTCATCCGCATCAGAGACAGGATTAGTGGCTGCCCTGCGGGGTGCAGGCTGCAACGTGGTGCTGAGGGTGGGGTGTGTGATGCTTAGTGGGGCCCTAAGCACAGGGTGTCTGCACAATGTCCCAAACTTATGGAAAGCAGAAAGCTGGATAGTACAGGAATACGTATGCTTTTCTAAACAGTAGGACCTAAGTAGCTGTTAGAGGTGGGAGTACAGTCATAGAATCATAGAATCATAGAATCATTGAGGTTGGAAAAGACCTCTAAGATCATCGAGTCC